TACACTGGGAAAAAGACTAATGTTTGGAGACATGTCCTGTGCTCTGATGGAGCTAAGATTGAACTGTTTGGCCATAATGACCAGTGGTACATTTGGAGGACAGAGAGGAAAGCTCACAAGCCTAGGAACACCATCCCAACTGTGAAGTATGGGGGCGGCAGCATCATGTTGTGGGGCTGTTTTGCTGCAGGAGGGACTGGTCCACTTCACAGCATAGATGGCATCATGAAGAAAGAACATGATGGAGAAATACTGAAGCAACATCTCAAGACATCAGCCAGGACATTAAAACTTGGCCACAAATGGGTCTTCCAGACAGACCATGACCCTAAGCACACTGCCAAATTAGTTAAATGTGCTTTAAGGACAACAGAGTGAATGTTTTGGAGTGGCCATCACAAAGCCCTGATGTCAATCCTATGGAAAATTTGTGGGCAGAGTTGAAAAAGCTTGTGTGAGCAAGACAGCCAACAAATCTGACTCAGTTACACCAATTCTGTCAGGAGGAACCGGCCAAAACTCCAAAATACTCAAAACATTTGACCAAAGTTATACAGTTTAAAATCAAAGCTAAAAAAAACACATCAAGGTAATGTGTGTAAACTTTTGACTATCTAGAAATTAATAAAAAATTCTCTCATTATTTTGGCATTTAGCAAATGTAAATCATTTAGGCAATCCTAACGGACCTAAAACAGTAAAGGTTTGGTATGATTTACCATCAGACATTTAAAAAAATGGTTATGCTCCTTTTCTTAGAGTGTATGTAAACTTCTGGTTTCAACACACTAACATAATTACATATGCAGGGTAGTGGTAGTGTGCACACGCACGCATGCACACACACGCGCAAGCACACACAGACACACACACACACACACACACAGATCTGTGCTCTCAGTGTGTGCATTCAGAACCCTGAGGGATCTGAGAGTTTCTTCACACCACCTGAGTCTGAAGATTAAAGGCACAAAGACTGATCTTTAGCTGACACACACACACACACACACGCACACACACACACACACACACACACACACACACACACTTATGAGAAACACACTTTCAAACTATAAGATAGATACACACATACAAACTGATTCTTGTCATGATTCACTCTATTAATACTGTTCCTACTTCTTCATCAAAAGATGCTCCGCCTCTGAAACTGATCATCCAATCACCATCCTCCATTCAGTTTCATAAAGTTTGACAAAGATCAGAGAAAAACAGTGACATCACTTCATGATGACTTTGAATTACAACTAACCTGCCTTCATTAACTTTAACCCTCCGGGGTCAGAGGTGATTTTGGCGCTCCTGAGATGTTTTGACATGCCTGGACATTTGTGCTTATTTCAGCTACTTATTACATAGTACTGGCCAACATGTTTTTTTTTATTCAGCACAAATTGCGCTACAATAATGTGTGAGAAAAATTGATGTACATGATTGCATTTAAAAACAAACAAACATATTATGCATGGTTAGTAGGTTTTGGAGGAAAAAATGTAGCTGAAATAAGGTCCAAAAAACACTCTGAATGTGCTTGAACAAGACTTTTGAGTAACCAGTCTTGTATGCTAAAGTATTTCCCAATTATGTAAAAATTATTCTGTTCTCTCATTCAAAGAAAACATTACAATGAATTACAATCTGTAAAGTCTATTTTTAGGTCATCTCAGCTGAATGCGTGGGAGTGACTATGGTCATGAATAATTCGACAAGACACTCCCCCACCGGCTAATGTTCACCCAACAAGGGCATTGTAAAGCAATAGTCCCTTTCACACAGTGATACTAGTAAATATCCAGAAAATTTCTGGTACGACTTTACCGGTAAATTCATAAAAGCGCTGGAATTTAAAAAAGAGGAAAAATGAAGAGAAGCAAAAATTAGCTGAAATTTTGTAGGTTGTAATTTTTTTCACAATATTTTGTTTGAATTTAAATGTATTCTCTTTCAATTTCTTTTAAAAAAAATCTGTTTTGTTTCAATGCACTAAAATACACTGTATATATTCATTAAGAAATGGAGACAAATATTCATTTTCAAAATGGGCTGTACTCAGTTATACTGAGCACTGTATATACAGTTGAGGTCAGAATTATTAGCCTCCCTTTGAATTATTATTATTTTTAAATATATTTCCCAAATGATGTTTGACAGGGCAAGGAAATTTTCACTGTATGTCTGATAATATTTTTTCTTCTGGAGAAAGTCTTATTTGTTTTATTTTGGCTAGAATAAAAGCAGTTTTAAAATTTTTAAACACCATTTTAAGGTCAAAACTGTTAGCCCCTTTAAGCTATCTTTGTTTTCAATAGTCTACAGAACAAACCATCATTATACAATAACTTGCCTAATTACCCTAACCTGCCTAGTTAATCTAATTAACCTAGTTAAGCCTTTAAATGTTACTGAAACTATTGTGTTTAGAAATGTGTTGAAAAAATCTTCTCTCTGTTAACCAGAAAAAAATAAACAGGGGGCTAATTCTGACTTCAACTGTGTGTGTGTGTGTGTGTGTGTGTATAATCTATTGTCTATTGTTTATTTTATACACATAACGTGCAGCCAGACATAGCCCTGAGCATATATTTCTCAGTTCTCAAAAATGAAGCCCTGGGTATATATTTCATGGTTTTTAAAACTGTAGCCCTGGGCACATATTCCCAATGAGCCTGTGTCAGAAATAACCTTGGTCTGGAGTCTATGAGCTTTGAAAATTTTCAGACAAACACACTCAAGGGAATATTCCATGCACTCCATCTTCAATAAAGATGCACTGTCTGTCTCCAAAAGCAAAAGTGGCACGAGGTCACGCAGTCAGCCACGGGCACTGGAGGGCGAGGGCCAGCTGGGGATTAGGTGTTGCTTCGAGAACACATTTTTACGGGCGTCTCTGGGGACGAAAGCATCTCTGAGTGAGAAACGACGCGCCTCGCTGTTCTTGGAGAAGAGAAAGTTGAAGATGTGAGGCTGGAACCGAGCGAATGCGGATGAAGCGGCTTTAAATAATGCATCCGCTGCTCTTCTGCTCTCGTTCGCATGGATTCCTCTCAACTCCATCTCAGCTCAGCTCATGTGCGCTCGCAGCAGTCTAAGCAGGCAGCACACACACTTTAAAGTTCACATGAAATCAAAACTAAGCATATTGATTTTGTTAGCTCGCATGGCTAGTTTTGCGCTGAACAATTCATCTGCGCAGGTCATTAAGATAATAGTTTGCTCTTGTAATTTCTAATGGAAGTCTGAAAATGCACTTCCTGTTTGTTTTCAGTTCAATTCTCAGATCAGGTCAGTCTGAGGTTATGGGTGTGGTTAACGTACTAAACCACGCCCCTCCAGCGGTCAGTTTTTGAAAGCAAACAGAAATGTTGAGCAGGAGGTCTCTGTTAGGCTGTGATAACTCTCCCCAAACCCTTTTCCAGGTCCTTCTGAATGAAACGGCCACTTTACTACATCCAATCAGCTCGCAGTAAAAAAAACAAGCCACGCCCACTGTTTTTTAATTTAATATACCGTTTCTCTAGGAAATGTACCACAATATAGGAAAAAAAAACGGCCGCATGCATGTTTCCGATCGCAGTGCCAACTGAAACCGAAACACTAGACTGCATCGCTGAGAACGAAAACAGCTGGACAAGGTTGCGCATGCTGAGCATGCCCACATCAAGACGGCGCTCATACAGTTGGGTTTTAAAGGGTAGTACATACCTGCAAACAGTCCTGATTTTCCCGGGAGTATCCCGTTAGAGATCTGCACGGGACTAAATTTTGAATCTCGCTCCCGCCAGTTTTTAGCCCGAACCTGACCGCTACCGCTTATATCCAGCATTTGTTGTCCTGCTGCCCAATCCACCCCGTTTTCTACCTGCCGCGGTTGAGAACAAAACCGAAAACCACCCAGCTTTACAGAGCCTAGACAGCCTTTAGCAAGCTGTCTGTATAAACACACACACACACACACACACACACACACACACACATCAAGCAGACACGCAGACAAAGCTCTCTCTCTCATTCACGCACACACACACACACACACACACACACAGCTAAGCAGCATCACACTGTCTCGTTCACACACATACATACGCGTGCTCGCTCGCTCGGGAGTCAGGAGCGATATTGCTAGACTGCCCGCTCCCGTCCAAAATAAAACCAGTTACCGACCGCTCCCGCGCTTTATTCAGAAATTTGCAGACCTCTATCTCCTGTATTTCAGACCCATCTCCCATATTGTTCTGTCTCCTGGAAAACTCCTGGAATTCCACCAACCCCCCCGCTGCTCAGCTTTTTGGTACAGTCCGGCCTGGAACCTGGTGCATGTTCATGCACCAAACCCAACGCACATGACTCCCTATACCCCCTCCCTGCTCTTCACTTCGTGCACCCAAACCCCCATTGCCCCCCCCCCCCCACGCTCTTCACTTCGCGCAAAGCTATGATGTAGTAATGTTGAACTTAATTTGCTTAAATTCAGCCCATACAAATTGTTTGCAACTACTTACCTTAAAAACTAGAGTAACTCCAGTGAGTCATTGTTTTCAGTGTGTGAACGTGTGGATACGAGTTTACAGAGTAAAATGAAATGTTGATAACTAAGACAGACGCGGCGGGAGGCAGATGAGTCTTTGTCGAGCCACTTAAGAACGATGATTTGATCTGCTTAGCTTCTGTTTCCATTAGCCGCGCAGCATTAGCGATCGGCAGGGATTCAGTCGCTGGTTCTGCTGGAATCCTGACGCTCTTAATCAAACCAATTACAGCACAGAAGAGGACGGAGGATGCAGGACTGCTCAGAAACAGCTGCTGAGCTACACACACACACACACACACACTCACGCTCATTCATCACTTGTGTGTAGTTGTGTGTCAATCATTTGTAAAGCTGTTCTGGTGCACATTTGCAGATTCATGAAAGAGTTCGTGTTTTACAAATGTTGGTTTATGCAAATGTGTGTTTGTGTGTGTGTGTGTGTGTGTGTGTGTACCTGAAAGAAGCCTGGAGGAACAGGGCCGACTGGCATCCCTTCTCCTGGCTGCATGTTTCCAAGAACAGGACTTGGAGCCGCTGCTGCGCTCTATCAAAACACACACAGGATACCAGTTAGACAACACACACACACACACACACACACACACACACACACACACACACACACACACACACACACACACACACACACACACACACACACTCCCGTTTTCCCTGGAGTCTCCCATATTTCAGATCTCCCAGAAAACTCCCAGAATCCCCCCCCAAATGCTCCACGCTCACAACACTCCCCCTTCACATCCAACCAACCAATCCAGGGTCCAATCCATTAATCCAGGGTCGCCACAGCGGAATGAACCGCCAACTTATAAAGCACGTTTTTACGCAGCAGATGCCCTTCCAGCCACAACCCATCTCTGGGAAATCTGGCTTTTATAATATTAAAAATTACATCTGGGTGTATGATGGCACAGTGGGTAGCACATTCGCCTCACAGCAAGAAAGTCGCTGGTTCGAGCCTTTGCGGGGTCAGTTGGCGTATTTGTGTGGAGTTTGCATGTTCTCCCAGTGTTGCCGGGGATTTCCTCTGGAAAGCTGAAGGGAAATTAATGAATGGATCAGTTCATCAGAGAGTTGGAACAAATAATTTCAGTCAATAATTAAGAGATTCGCCAGCTTAATTTTTTTATTTCTTTCAATTTTACAGTTGTTTTTATTTATAAAATATTTTAACAGTGACATTATGTAAACAAACTGTAATTTAAAGGGTTAAAATGTTTCAAATTTTATGAATTTAATTTTTAAAAAGCAAAGTGTCAAAAATGAAATGCGCCAGCTTAATTTATGAACAAATCAGCTGCTTTGAACCAATCATTTGAGTGAATGATTCAGTGAATCACACATTTAAGGCATAGTTCAATCAAAAATTACAATTCTGTCATTAATTACTCACCCTTTGCTTTTTCATTCATTCATTTTCCTTCGACTTAGCCACTTATTCATTAAGGGTCGCCACAGAAGAATGAACCGCCAACTACTCCAACATATGTGTCACAATCACCAACAATCTAATGGTTGCCTGGTAAACATGCGGACTGCTAAAAAAACTACAAATCCCCTATAATGGGCACTACATATGCAGTCATGCGACATACACACACAAACACACAAAGAGGATGATTACTGACTGATTAATAGCTCTATTTATACAGCACACACACACACACACACACACACACACACACGCATCAGTGCTGAGTCTTGTTTAGCTGTATTGGGAACATTATGATGCATTTTTCTTGTCTGGCCATGTTAGACCCTTGCCCTGTTTTGTTGTTTATTCCTGTCTGCTGCCTGCCTTTGACCATCCGCCTGTTTACTAAGCACGACTCTGGATTTTCTGTCTACATCTGTTTGCCCCTGTGTTGAATGTTGCTTGCCTGACCATTCTTGTTATTAAACCTGCATTTGGATCTGCAGTCCTTTGTCAGCACCCCCATCACATTACAATATGTTTTACACAGCGGATGCCCTTCCAGCTGCAACCCAGTACTGGGAAACACCCATACACACTTTAATTCAGCTATAGCGCATGTGTTTGGACTGTGAGGAAAACCGGAGCACCCGGAGGAAACCCACGCCAACACTAGGAGAACATGCAAACTCCACACAGAAATGCCAACTGACCCAGCCGAGGCTCGAACCAGCGACCTTCTTGCTGTGAGGCCACAGTGCTAACCACTGAGCCACCGTGCCACCCCCTTAAAATCTTTCAAACTTATTTTTTCACCCCCAAAAAAACCCTGAATTTAAAAACATCACAGTCATATTCAAAAACAATGATAATACAGGTGTTTAAGGCATGTGAAGCACTCGCTGTAAACAAGAATAAGCAATGACTGAGCGCTGGCCTGTGTGGAAACAAGAGCCTGTGGTCTGTTGTAAAGCAGCAGTGTTTGGTGAAGGCGTCTGTATTGTGAATTATTGAGCAGAGACTCGGGTTACTATTTGGCTCGGCGACACCTTCAGTTTAATTCTTCATCCTGACGCATGTTTTAATCCATCTGTGAGTCTAATGGGCCTGTAAGCTTTGCATTCGGAGAGCTTCACAGTAATAACGTCATTTGTGGATCGTGAAGAAACTAATAAACACTGGAGGATGACGGAAACAGATGAAAGTAGGGTTGCACGATATTGAAAAAACTGCAATATTTAGTTCTTCTAGTCCAACAGTAATGATGTACAGAAATTCAGTAATTAAATGTGAAGAAGCATGTTCTGAATTCTCAGTGATTTACTAGGATAAACCTCTACAAGAATGCGAGAATTACTCTTTTGCATTCAACACAACGGTATTTGATGGAAAGTAGCTTGCTAAAGCTAATAATAAACTCTAAAGTGAGAAGCATCCTGTTTTTTTAAGTTACAACATAGAATCTCAGTGTAGACTCTATCTGCAAATGCAGAGCAAACATGGCATCTAAACAGAGACCGTCAAGACAGCAGCACTTCAAGCAAAACCCAGCCTTCAAATCTGGACATGAAGTCATTAATTAACAGCGCTTTTCCTCGTTACTCTTCCCATTTAGCAGTTGGGAAACATTGGACGCAGCCTGCATGAACATCCATCTGTTACTGCGGAACACTGTTACCCACCATAAATCCCTCCAGCACTTCACAAGACATTTCCCTCGCTTTTGTTGCTTTGAATGTCTGACTTTGCAGTGGCCTTTCACTAAACTTCGTGCCATTGCTGGTGCTGTGAAAATATACAGGCAAAAATATTGTAGCATTATTTCGTTTTTGAGCTCAAGAATCAACGGGCTCTGTAAGATTTAAAAATTAATATCCAATATCATCTATAAATAATATCTATCTATCTATCTATCTATCTATCTATCTATCTATCTATCTATCTATCTATCTATCTATCTATCTATCTATCTATCTATCTATCTATCTATCTATCTATCTATCTATCTATCTATCTATCTATCTATCTATCTATCTATCTATCTATCTATCTGTCTATCAATCTAGCGTTCTATCTATCTATCTATCTATCTATCTATCTATCTATCTATCTATCTATCTATCTATCTATCTATCTATCTATCTATCTATCTATCTATCTATCTATCTATCTATCTATCTATCTATCTTAGGGATGAACCAATGTACTGAGCGGTAATATTTATCAGCACATTGGTAATAAATATAACCTGATGGTTCATTAATTACACTAAGCAAACGAGCTGCAAGTCTGTTAAATAATTCAACATTGTGTTTGTATGTTTAAAAATCTCCTTGATATAACTTGATGTTTATGCAATATTGTTTTTTCTCTGTTTGGTGCAATCTTGTGACTAAATATTAATACAAGTAGGTTAGCATTGGTTACCTACTAGCTGTTTAAGGCATTTTAATTTCTGTAAGCTTTAAATTTACTTAACTTGTTAGTAATAGCTCGCAAAAATAGTGAAATTGAATATTTAATAAAATAGTAATAGTTCAAATCAAGGTTTTGTATAGTCCTGCAATAAGCCAAGTAAAGAACATCCAGGAGGTTGTTATCTCAGAATAAAGCCTGACAAGTATATCTTTAGGGTTTATTCTGCAAAAACAACTGTCCTGGATGTACTTTATCCTGCTTATTACATGGCTATTGGCCACAAAATGTAAAAAATAGAAACCAAAAACATTGTAAAGGTTTACTAGTTTTTTAATTAAAGGTAAAACTAATAGAATGAAAACAGCTGATGGAGTATACACTAACCTATACATTATGCAGACACAAGATGGCGCCAAACAGTTAAAAACACAAAGCTGACAGATAAAAACAGCTGATGGAGTATACACTAACCCAAGCATTATTCAGACACTAGATGGCGCCAAACAGTCAAAAACATAAAGCTGACAGAAACTAAAACAGCTGATGGAGTATACACTAACCTGCGCATTATTCAGACACAAGATGGCACCAAACAGTTAAAAACACAAAGCTGACAGAAACTAAAACAGCTGATGGAGTATACACTAACCTGCACATTATTCAGACACAAGATGGCGCCAAACAGTTAAAAACATAAAGCTGACAGAAACTAAAACAGCTGATGGAGTATACACTAACCTGCACATTATTCAGACACAAGATGGCGCCAAACAGTTAAAAACAAAGCTGACAGAAACTAAAACAGCTGATGGAGTATACACTAACCTGCGCATTATTCAGACACAAGATGGCGCCAAGCAGTCAAAAACACAAAGCTGACAGATGAATACAGCTGATGGAGTATACACTAACCTGAGCATTATTCAGACACAAGATGGCGCCAAACAGTCTAAAACATAAAGCTGACAGATGAAAACAGCTGATGGAGTATACACTAACCTGCGCATTATTCAGACACAAGATGGAGACAAACAGTCAAAAACACAAAGCTGACAGAAACTAAAACAGCTGATGGTTGTTATCTGGGAATAAAACACCTTGGAATGTCACACCTGACCATTCAGAAGTGTAATAATCTGCAATAGATTATCCCTACTTCATGCGTAATATATCTACCGGAAAGCCTGCTGTACCTACAGTAAGTCGACAGGTGCAGATCTGGAGCTGGAGATCCTCAAATCACGCTCCTAAAGGGACACATCAGCGTGGGATCTGGTGAAAACAGTCCTCTGGAGGATTGAGACACACTTTGGACTGAATGTTTCTGTGTGTTCTGTATTTGTCTCGGCAGAAATGCTCAATGCACATTTGTCATTGGTGATTGACGGCTCAGATTGGTATAAAGATGCGATTACTGGAAATACTCTTCCTGCTGTTCTGTGTTGACACTGTATCTGTCCAATAATTCATCAACACTAATTTAAAATTAAAGTTTACCTGAGCTCATGTTATTGTCACTTTAAGCTAAACACTAGTATCTCGAAGAATATTTAGTCTAATATTATGTGCTCTCATCATGGCAAAGATAAAACAAATCAGTTATTAGAAATGAGTTATTAAAACTATTATGATTAGAAATCTGTTGCAAAAGTCTTCTCTCCGTTAAACAAAAATTGTGGGAAAAATATATCCAG